AGTGGTTTTGGCTGATTTATTTATTCAAAATTGGGAAAAATTTCGTACATAAGTATGAAATGAGAAAAAAAGAAGAAACCGAAAGCAGTCGTTGTCATAGTACGTCAAGAAGGATTGATGATATGACAGAATGTTCTCTGTCGATTTATTTAATGATTAAAATGAACCGGGAAGGCGAAAAAAAGGGCTCATGTCGCGGCCCTTGTCATGTCTATTTATCAAAATTACACACGTCGAACGACAGTAAATCGAGTCAGGAGAAGTTTTTTTCCAGAGGAGGCCTAAATACAATCGAATCCAAGTGAAAGCGATAAATCATCCTGTCCATCTAAACAATGAAAAGGAAAGCCAATAACTGACACTAAAAGGTCTCTAATAGTGAAACGAATGCCTTTTCTTTAGGAAATGAACCGATCAAGTAAATTATATTTGAATAACACAATGATTTATAGATAAAGAGTAAAGGTGTAAATAGACGACACCTGCATTATTGTTTAATCCTTCTGTATCTTCGTAACGATAAACGGAATCCTTATGGGATCACCTCTTTGTCTTTCTTTCCTATAAGCAAATTTGGTAAAAATTTTAGTATATATTGTTTATTCATTTATGAAATTATGAATAAATTTTCAGAATAATGGCAACTGCGATTTTTAATTAAAAAATTAGTGTTTGAAAAGTGATGAATAAAATTGATTTTGGTCTTGGTCTAGACTGTCTTTACACTTATAAGACCAAGACCGAACCAAGACGAAAATCAAGGCCAAACGAACAAGACCAATACTAAAACCAAGACCGAATATGCAAGCTTTTCACCAAATGGGTATTGTGCAGTCGTAAGATAAAAAATTATCCGGAGACCACTCGGAAGTTGCGTTTCTGAACTCCCGTTCTACTAGAATCTTATTAAAATAAAACTAGTAGCGAATTTGATTGATGTGTTTAATGAGAAGGTTTCTTACATACTAACTAACAATATTAAATTTACTTAAAACTAGAGAACAACTAACAAAGGGGGTGGAGTCTAAATGAAAGATATTATGGTGGTGGATAAATGTAGGAATTTCCGTCATATACGAGAGGGTGTTGAGTACAACCAGATATAGAAAAGTTCTAGAAACAGGTATCAAAGAGCTAACAATAAGCCAGGTATTAGTGACAGAAAAACCTCATTTATACTACCAGGAATTATTGAATTTATCACGTACATTTTGTCTGTATGACAATGAAATTATTCACAAAATATTGTAAAACCAAATAATAAAAGAAA